GGCTCCGTACCCCCAGGCTGAGCACCTCCAGGCGTAGTACCCCCAGGCTCAGCACCCCCAGGCTCAGCAACCCCAGACCCAGCACCCCCAAGCTTAGCACCCCCAGACTCAGCACCCCCACGCTCAGCACCCACAGAGTCAGCACCCCCAGGTTCAGCACCCTCAGCAGCACCAGAGTCACAAGTGACCTTGACAGGCTCGACTGCGTCTACCTGGGACACACCTGAAGGGGACGGACCCTGAGGGGGAAGGGGTTCTACCGGAGGGGGACCTGGGACAAGGAAGAGCGGCGGCGGGGGGAGGGACGGAGTGCGGTAGGGGAAGAGGCGGTAGTAGGGGACCGACTCGTCAAACGTGACGTCCTGGGAGGACAGAACACGGCGAGAGGTGGGGTGGTAGAACTGCCACCCTGGCGCGTGAGGGGGGAAACCGAGGAAGACGCAAGGAGAAGCAGGAGGGGACAGCTTGTCCGAAGACAAGTCGCGGACAAACGCCCGAGATCCCCAGACACGGAAAGCAGACGCATCGCCAACCTTCCCCGTCCACAGCAGGGCTGGGGAGGTTTCCGGCCTGGAGACCCTGGGCTGAAGGTTGATCTGATGCGCCGCGTACCGAACCGCAAACGGCCATAGAAAATGGGGGGCAGCCTCATGCATCATGGACGTACGGGCGACGTCCATGACCATGCCAATGCGGCGCTCAGCAATCCCATTTTGCTGTGGAGAGTCCGGAAGCGTGAAGGTCTGGCGGATGCCTCGTGCACGACAGTAGGCTCGCAGAAGACCAGAGGAGAACTCTCTGCCTCTGTCAGAGTGCAGACGCAGAACAGGAAAGTCCGAGCCGAAGCTCTGCCTCAGCTGGAGACGAGCTGCGCGGATCCAGTCGATCAACACCTCAGTGACATCACCCTTGCTGTGCTAGGGGAAGACTGTGGTGTAACGCGAGTAGTCGTCAACCACCAGCAGGAAGTAGCGCTCGTGACCCTGTTCACGGACGCGGGCCGGGCCCCACACGTCCATGTGAAGCGTCTGCAGCGGGGCCTCTGTCGGAGGAAACTGGGAGGAGTGAGGGGCAGCCCGCTGCCGCCCCTCGACACAGGGGACGTAGACAGGGCCAGGCCCCGGAGGAAGGGGAGGGAGGGACCGGGGAAGACCAGAGACAAGGACACGAGAGGCCATGCCTCGGAGACGAAGCAGGGAGGGGTGACCAAGGCGGTGGTGCCAGAGAAGAGTCTCGTGGGACAGGCGGCGACACGAGCAGGGGGCAGACTCAGGACCAGACCTAGACGCTGCAGCAAACACCTGGCCCGACGCAGCTACCTGACCAGACGCAGTGAGTGAAGGAGACCCATTGGTCAGTGTGTACAGGCTCGACCCTGGCCGACGAGTAAACGTGGCCAGGTGTCGGCCAGTCCGAGCGTCCGTGGAGTGGGTCACCCGCTGGCTCGTAGGAGTGAACTGGTGAACTCCCCCATCCTGAAGGTCAGCGCCACTCACCAAGTTCGTAGAGAACGAGGGGAGGTAAGGACCAGACAGGGTGCCAGAGGGAGCCGCCGGACACGGGAGGACAGTGGAGAAGTGAGCAAGGACAGGACCCCAAGAGGGATCTGCCAGAGAGACCGCAACTGGCCGACCAAGCGGCGTGAGTGTGGTACGGTCTCGAAAGAAGGAGCGAGACGCCTCCGAGTTGAGGGTGAAGGTGAGGGAGGCCGAAGCCGACTCGGTACCTGAGAGCGCGGACTCACCAGCACATGAGGGAGCAGACGCACTAGCACCTAGAGCAGCAGCCTCGCTAGCACCTAGAGCGGCAGCCTCACCAGTACCTAGAGCAGCTGTCTCAATGCCCGGGTCGGGCGGGAAACACCGGTAACAGTCACCCTCATCACTAATAGACACAGCACACATGGCAGCAAGAATAGCATCAAAGTCAAGGTCAAAGATAGTTACCCCCGCCCTGGACAGCTCACCCCAGCGAGGGATCTCCGTGGCCTCCGGAAACTAGTGACGCCAAGCGTCTGTCAGGCGGCCGAAGCAGCGCTGGGTGGAGTGCGCACCCCCACAGGAACAGTTCCCACGAGGGAACTTGCTCTGATACCATGAGAAGAAACGAGAATGAATAAGGAATGAAAGTGATACAAGTATGCAACCCTAGCATTGTGTACCCCATATAGGCTACCCCACTACAGTCTACACAACATTATAATTTGACAGATGAGAGGGGTGAGAGGAATGGCGACGGGAATGGGGCTCTCTGTGATCGCGAGGAAAATATCACTACGCAGCAACGGCGACGAAGTATCACAAACAATCTAATGATAATTTCATTTCTATGCCGCATCAGCCTAATCCCTCGTCTCTGGCTATTCTATGCTAGGCAAGCTCCGTGAGCTAGGCAAGCTACGTGAATGGAGTTGAAGTAAGCATATGTGGAACCCAGGCCCAGCTTGGAAGTCGAAGTCGGGTCCAACCGTCAAAACGCACGACAAACAACTGTCGTGCAAATGTCGCATGCAGAAAATGAGAACGCGCGAGCCCGATCTGATTTTTTTTTTTGGCGGGAACGAATCACGTGTGTTCAGTCTGTGGAAGGGCGATGCCCGGAACAGTGTTTTACACAGCCCATCGTCGTTCCAGTTTTGCAACGAAGGCAGAATGGTACACCGTCTTGTACTCATTTCATTTTCTTCGAGATCGAATACAAATCCCCCCCAAACCCCTCGCTCCCCTCACTCCCAGGATCACCGCATCATTCGTGTGAGGCGTGCATCAGCCCATAAATTTCCAGCCGCTCGTTCGCTTAGGTTTGTGGCCAACGGCTCTGGGTTTACGAAGCTCGCGATTGCACATTTATGACCTGCTCGAGCGAATGGTCATGAGTTTATAACGTGACGTGGTTTTGGAACTTTCGGCCGTGATGGGGAATCTAGAAACTCAAATGATTTGTCACATGGGTGAACGATGGAAATTGAATCCACGGGTTTGGGTTTCTGGAAGAAAAGGCAAATCTAGTTGCCATCATCCGTATCTACGTCCGATCGAAGGCAGGCAGCTTTCCCGCCAACGGCAGCTTCCTGTCAGCGAGCGAATGCCCGCGTGGGAACAGATGCAAAAAAATCCAGGAACCCCTGACGTTTTCTGTTTTCTTCTCGATCTTGTCCAAGTAAAACAAAATTTGGATATTGTTCACGGTGGTGGTGAGAAGTCGCATTTCTGGAAAAAAAACTTTTTCAAACATGCTTGATAAACGAAAACAGATTGCTTCCATAAGCCATGCAACAGCACATTGGTGATTTATTTGTTGGAATACTGTACACTTCAATTTCTTCTGTGATCATTATTTCAACGAGGACCAAGACCCCAGATTTGCTTCCTCCCACCAGCTCAGTTTCCCAAATCCTGTCTCTTCACCGTCAGTCCTGTCCGCTCTCCAGAGCAACTTTTGTGATGTGCTGCTGATGCTGTCCACTGTACGGTAACGCCAGTCGTCAGACCCTCACAACTTTCTCTTTCTGCTATTCCTGCCACACAAGTGTGTTTCTTACCAGGCGCACACATCCTTCTGAAGCGTTGCGTGTCTCTAGGACTTTGAGGGAGCAGTTTCCGAAGCTACTGAGGTATTTTTTATGTTCTTTTTTTACCGACACCAGCGAGAGACGTGACCTGAAAAGCACTACACGCACATTTGAGTACGGCTGCATAATCTGGTTAACTACGTACCTAAAGGTGGCGTTGCGCTTAAACTTCTCGGCGTGAATCTTGTTAATCGATAATCGTACTCAGTCTTTCCCGTTAACTATTAAAAGGCTCGTTCTTTCTGGCACAAATCGCTCTTAAAGTGAACATTTACGATTTCCATCACAAACGATAATCTGATATTGGGATAAGCCGTCCGATCCAGCAATGGACCCTCTTTCCCGTGTCATCCGAGACGGTGACGTGCCAAACAGCCAGCCTCAAAACACCAACAGCAGTCCCAACCTCCCTCCTCGTTCTACACACCCACACTCACACCCCCCTCTCGCAACCTTCCCTTCTTCTTCGGGAGTATCTCTATCAGCTGTCCCCTCCTCTCTCTCCCCTCTCCCTCTTTCCTCCTCACTCTCCTCCCTCCCTCTTTCCACCTCTCTTCCCACCCTCCCTCTATCCTCTACCTATCCCTCCTTTCCCCCTCCCTCCACCTTCCCCTCCTCCTCTCACCACCTCCTCCCCAAATGGTGGTGCGGCCACCACGCGGCCAATCAGAGCTCGCCATTCGGCAGGCGACCGCAATCCGTAAGCCCCCCAGGCCTCCCCCTTGTCCCCCCATCCGGATCCCTCGGGGAAAGAGGGGGAGCAGGCGGAATGGAAGGGGAGGGGATGGGAGGGAGAGAAGAGGGAACGGAAGGGGGAGAAGGTCGAGGAGGAAGGGGAGGAGGAGGAGGAGGAGGAGGAGGAGGAGGAGGAGGAGGAGGAGGAGGAGGAGGAGGAGGAGGAGGAGGAGGAGGAGGAGGAGGAGGAGGAGGAGGAGGAGGAGGAGGAGGAGGAGGAGGAGGAGGAGGAGGAGGAGGAGGAGGAGGAGGAGGAGGAGGAGGAGGAGGAGGAGGAGGAGAGGGAGAACGGGGTGAGGAAGAAGAGCAGGTTATAAGCATCAAGCCGATGAGATCTTGGACCCCTTCCGGCAAAAATGAGAAGCAGCAGCAGCAGCAGCAGCAGCACCACCAGCAGCAGCAGCGGCAGCAGCAGCATCTGGACCCTATGGGTTCTGCCTTTGTGCGTGCTCTTTCAGTCAACCGCTCTTTCCCATCCCTCGGCGGCGGCGCAGGCGCTTCAGGTGCAACACCAGCAGCAGCAGCAGCAGCAGCAGCAGCAGCAGCAGCAGCACCAGCTGCAGCAGAGTCACCAGCAGCAGAAGCAACAGCAGCAGCAGTAGCAACAGGAGCAGGAGTAATAAAATCAGACGACGCAACGGGAGCAGCAGCACCATTGGAGGCTGTAACGGGAACAGCAACAGATATGGGGCTAATGGGGAAGATTCCCGAAGATTCTGCGGGAGACAGGGAGAAAGGCAGGGAAGTTCAAAGAGTGGAAACCCGCTGGGGTTTGGGTGCAAGGCTGGGAGGCTCGCCGCTTGCTTTGGAGCGTTCTCGAGTTCCCCGAACCGGAGCAGCAGGCTCGGGAAGGGAGCCGGAGTCTTCAGCCGGAGTTGCTGGGGCGGGTTCATCTGGGGGAGGCGGTACTGAGAGGGATCTGTTCAAGGAGACTCAGGTGTTTCCGCTGGCAGTGTTTAAAGAGCCTGAGTTTTCACTTGGGCCGGGTTCACCCAGGGGAGGCGCTACTGAGCGGGTGTTATTCAGGGAAACTCAGGTGTTTCCGCTGGCGAAAACCCACAGCCCTCTCTCGGGCTTTCTTGCACCTATGGCCGGTGGGAACGAGAGCGGTGCTGCTGCTGGTGCTGGTGGCGGTGGTGCTGATTCTGGTGGTGGTGGCAGTGGTGGTGGTGCTGCTGCTGTTGTTGTTGCTGCAGCGGGTGCTGCTCCTGCTCCTGCTGGTGGTGGTGGTGGTGCTGCTGGCGGCGGTGTTTCTATGGGCGATGGCAGCAGCAGCGGCAAAGTTGACGCCGTTGGTGCCGGGGGAAGGGCAGGAGCGGGAGCAGGGTCGACGGATTTGGGAGTGGGTTTAACAGGAGGAGGGCTAGTTGGAAGGAGTACGTTAATAGGAGGTTTGCTGGGGGGAGGTAGATCTCGGGGAGGGTTACTTGGGGGAGGTACATCCGGAGGAGGGTTACTGGGGGAAGGTAGATCAGAGGGTGGGTCACTGGGGGGAGGTACAACCAGAGGAGGGTTACTTGGGGGAGGTACATCCGGAGGAGGGCATTCGGGGGGAGGCTTATTCGCAGGACAGGCTCAGTTCCCGGACCTCAGCACGCAGCTGGGCCTCAGGTTCGGGCTCTCTGCTTCGGCCAGACCTGACTCCGGCGACAGGAGAGACGGAAATAGGCATGGGACTAGAGACGGGACAACGGAAGGAAATACAGATAGAGATGGAGACAGGGAGGGAGATAGGAGGCGAGATGGAGCCAGGCTTGCAGAGAGCAGGCCGCCAGAGAGCATTGAGTATGAGAGCCGGGAGCTAGCCCGAGCGGTGCAGCAGAACAGAATACTAGAAGAGGAGATCGTACGGCTGCAGGTGCAATCGTGGGAGCTTAAGGAGCAGAACCAGGAGCTGCACTCGCGGGTGGTTCGGCTAGAAAATACCATGAAGTATCGGGAGCAGAGAGGGGTTGGGAGCGGTGCGGGTGGGTGGGTGCAGCCGCAGCTTCAGCGGATGGAGAATCAGGTGGTGGTGCTGACGGGACGGGTGCTGCAGCTGCAGCAGCAGAACCGCGCGGCTAAGGGAGAGATTGAGAGGCTGAGGAAGGAGTTGGATGCGGTGAGGGGGAAAGGGGTGGCGGAGGGGGGAGGGGGAGGGGGAGGGGGGGGAGAAGGGGGCAGGGGAAGCGGAGGGAGGGTTGGAGGGGGCCGGGTGGGGAAGGGTGAGAGGGGAAGGGAGGGGATGAAAGTGGAGTGGGAGAGAGTTGAGATGGATGTGAGTGGAACAGGAGGAGGAGGAGGAGGGAGAGCTATGGGTGGAGAGGGAAGAACGTGTGAACGGGGGATTGGGGGGATGAGTAGCAGAGGGAAGGAGCAGAAGGGCACTGATTTGCAGGGAAGTAAAGCTGATGTTGGTGCTGCTGGTGGTGATGCTGCCGCTACCGCTGCTGCCGCCACTGCTGCTGCTACTGGTCCTGTTGACGTGGATGTTGTTGGTGCTGGTGGTGGTGATGCTGTTAAAACTGCTGTTGCCACCACTGCTGCTGCCGCCACTGCTGTTGCTACTGGTCCTGTTGACGTGGATGTTGGTGGTGCTGTTGATGCTGCTGCTGTCGCTGGTGCAGCTTCTGTGGATGCTGGGGGTGGCAATGCTCCTGATGCTGCTGATCCTGGCAATGCTGCCGCTAGAGGTGTTGATAGGGATCCTCCTGCTACTGCTCCTGCTACTGCTCCCCCTACTGCTCCCCCTACTGCTCCCCCTACTGCTCCTGCTACTGCTCCTGCTACTGCTCCTGCTACTGCTCCTGCTACTGCTACTGCTACTGTGACTGCTTCTGCTGCTGCTACTGCTACTGTGACTGCTTCTGCTACTGCTTCTGCTTCTGCTGGTCCCGCCGCTGCTGCAGCTCCAATCACCACCGCTTTAGCCGCCATGAACGTTCCTACAGAGGTGAGCAGGGTAGAGGAGGCAAGCTCGGGGGAGGGGAAGAGGGGAGGGATGCTAGGGAAGCGAGATAGGGAGTGTCACGACGAGGGGGAGGGGGAAGAAGAGGAGGAGGAGGGGGGTGGGCCAACCTGAATATCTTTGTCACTATGGTGTCGACTCAAAAGTCACCCCGAATGGGGTGTGGCAGAGGCAGGAAAGGGAGTCTCAGGAGGAAAGGGAGGGGGGAGAAGAAGAGGAGGAGGGTGCGCCCAACTGGAACTACTTTGCCACTGGAGGGTGTTGACTCGTATTTCACCTCTAGCAGGGTTTGTCAGAGGCAAGAAAGGGAGTGTCAGGAGGAGGGGGGAGAGGAGGGGGAGGTGGGGGGGAGCGAGGAAGAGGGGGGAGAATTAAGAGAAGGTGGGGGTCCAGCTTGATTACCTTGGTGATTGCTGATTTGACTCGTAGGTTACCTTCAGAGCGGCGCTAAGGAAGCGAGGACAGGAATCTTGGGAGGAGGGGTGGTGGTTGGTCCAACCTGAATATCTTTGTCACTATGGTGTCGACTTAAAAGTCACCCCGAACGGGGTGTGGCAGAGGCAGGAAAGGGAGTCTCGGGAGGAGGGGGAGGGGTGGGGAGGGAGGGAGGGGAGAAGAGAAGGAAGGTCCGACTTGAAGGAAGGTGCGGGAGGAGGAGGAGAGCGGCTGTCCAGCTCTGACTAACTTGGCGACTGTGGTGTCGACTCAATTGGAAAGGCACTTCAAACGGGCACCTACGGAGGCAAAAAAGTGGTCTCAGGAGGAGGGATGGGGGAGGAGGAGGAGGAGGAGGTAGGTGGGCCGATTTGAACAGCTTCTGCAGCAAAGCATGCAGCAGAGAGGACGGTGCAGCCGATTGGAGGGTGCAGCAGACAGGAGGGTGCAGCAGGGAGTAGAGTAGAGAGGCTAGAGCATGCAACTATCAGGAAAGTGTAATAAAGAAGTGTGTCACTTGGCTGGTGGGATCAAATGTTGCAGAAGAGAGTGCATCTCAAACGGCTGCAGCAGAGGCTAGAACAGAGAGGTTAGAGCATGCAGCTGTCAGGTTAGTGCACTAGGGATCAGAGTGTCTTGCTTGGCTGGTAGGATCGGGCAGACGGGAGTGCAGTTGGAGTGGGTGCAGCAGAGGCTGGCGCAGAAGCTTGGACGTGTGGTGTGATACATCCTAAAAAAATAAATATTGCTCTTTGCACTTCTTTTTTGCTCTTTTTGTATTCATATAATATAGTTATTTGCTGCAAGGCCTGCTCTTTCAGTGCTTCGGTGTGCATTCAGAGGACCTTTCTATATTACTGATCATTGCTGAGTTTTTGGGCTTGTTACAGGTCTAGCTCTCTCAGGACAGGGAGAGCTCTAGTAAGGCTACTTAGGGCGTGTTCCTACGGGCTAGCCTCGTATCAGTAAAGAAATTTCTCAAACTTCACGTTATAAAACACCTCGTATCAGGATTGTACTGAATCAGCGCACCAATCATATCGCTCGCACAACATCGCTCGAACGTGGAGAATCCCCCGGGCACGGTTCCCTTTGATGGGCAGCCGTTTGCCCTGTTTTTGCGGCCGACAATCATCCCTGCTCGGTTTCGTAACGTGGCATTGGAGCGCTGCGCATGAACGTGCAGACTTTTCACAAACAAGGAACATCAGCATTGACTTTCCGAGGCGCGATGTTCAGCTGCGGCAAAGCACGCACAATGCTGGTTCGTAACAAGACACATCAGCATTGACTTTCGGTCGCATGTATGGGTTAGCCGTCAACTTTTCCTGATACGAGGTTCTAGCGAGTTGGCCAATTTACAGGCGAGGAGTACCAATCTGATACGAGGTGCCCCTGACAGGAGGTCGTAGGAACACGCTCTTAGAGCAACCGTGCAGACGTGGTGCGGCAAATGGGTTCAACAAATGAAACGAGCTCAAATGCATTGAGTGGGGCCACGGTTGTAAAGAACGAGAAATGTTGGTGGACGTGGTGTGACATGGCTGAGTTCCACGAGAGTCCTTCTGTTCGGTCATGCAGAACGAGGTCGAGAGAGGTTGTACTGATACCAAAACGCATGCTTGTCATGTCACCATCCATCGTCGCTGCAATTCTATGCTTCCACGTTGTTTGTGAAACAAGCACCGTTCGCATTACATGTGAAGGTATTAAGGGTGTGTTTCTACGGCCTCATATCAGGAAACCTCGTACCAAGAATGTACTTTTTGCCTACTAAAACTAGTGAGGGGTTTTGGGTCTAGGGGAATTTTCAGTGTGAGCCTGATACGAGCTTCTCTTGATACGAGGTGTAGGAACTTTCTATAAGGAAAGGGAAAGCCCCCTCCGATTGCTACCTGTCACATCACAAGGTCACAGGGCAAATTTGACCGGTGCTAAAGAGGCATTGGTTGCCTAAGTCAGCAATGATCAAGGGGTGGTAGAAACTTGATATCGCCAGCAGCTTCATCTCTACAGTGCATAGTTAGTGGGAGTCCCTTCCCCCCTTTGAAGACTTTGTTTATAATGATTGACGTCGTATGCATTAAGAAAATGCTATTGATGAACTTATTGGGTGTGATTCTGGTAGAGCCTTACCACCGCAATAATTACCATACGTACCCTTGATCACTGAGTGGTTGGAGAAAAGTATGCTAATGCTGTACACCCACGGGACAGGATCCATACTATTTAGGAAATGTCAGTGCATGCTGGTACATAACATTATCACAGAATGGAACGTTTGATGGTACACAGTAACCAGTGTCTCAGGCACTAATGCAAGCAAGCAAATAATGCTGGGCAGAAGCAAGGCCCTATAGACGCCTTTCATGTGTGGAAATTAGGTGTGTATTTCACCATGCTGTTGTGGAGGATGTCTTTGCCGAGAAAAATGCAAAGCACGGCCTCTGCAGGGCTGGATCCCAAATTTGCGCCGCAATTCCAGCTGATTACAACCACCCGCGTACGCGTTTTTGGATGACCTTCAACTACCAGTAGTGGTGAGTCATGTTCATTTTTGTGGACCTCAGGCGCGAAGTACTTCCCGCCGTAGGTTCTTGACGGAACCTTGAGATGAGCAGGAGCTCCAAGTCCACTCATCCACGCCCGCCACCAACTCTGTTTGACCAGCTCTGTGCTGGCCCACATCTGGGCCAGCGTCAGCACATCGAGGAAGCCTCCAGTGCCCTAACTTCAAGCCACTCATGAGTCACCAGCAAAGAAGTCAGTGATGCCAGCAGAGGGATGAAACCGAGGCCTAGTTTCGCGACCCACGTCATGCTTCCTTTCGTCGTTTTGCGGCTTCCACTTTTGTCGCGATAATCCTGCCGCAATTCCCGCAGCCAAATGAAGCCCAAATTCGCGGATGAATCCAAGGGCCAATGTTGCCGAAAGCACTGCAGCAATGCTGGGGGGCAGCTGGTGTCACAGCACCATCCCTCTTCAGGGCCCCTTTGATTGTGCTGGCTCGAGGCGCACATATGGACCCCTCGAGCCCTCGAGTTTCCCGTCACCCTCTGACCTCCTCCAGCAGACTCCATCGTACTGAAAACCCTTGAAACTGCTCATTGCCCCTTCTCGCCCCTCCCCTCTTCCCCATCGCCCTGAATTCTGGCGGACCAGGCTCGTCCGCCAGTCCTGGCCAAGATTGTTCCTCCTCGCAGGCGCTCACCTGATCCTCCTGGTTGTTCCTGATCACTGCACGAGCAGCGAGTGCGTTGCACAGCACAGCATGCCACGCCGTCAGGTCAGGTTGGGTTCAGCTGACTTTCCATAACGTGATCCTCGGCTCCTTAAATCCCGACTTTTCTGCTCGCTTTACAGCTGCTTTAGGGTTCCGCAGGCGTCGGTCGACGAGTATATGTTCTGGCTTTGGTACTGTTTCGTAGTTTCATCCTGCTCTCAACCTACTCGGTTGTGCTTTCCATTCTGAAGATCTCTGCAACAAATTTCCTTAACACGTTGAGACTGGTTACAGAGCCAGTGTCCTAGAGTTGCTTCTTGTAGGACTTTCGCTCTCTGCACCATGGTTCACACACAGGGGGTACTGACAATCCATCAGCGAGACGTTTCCCCATGTCTCTTTAGAATTTCAGCCGTTCCACGGGCTGACAACGCTTCAGCTCCCAGGCTGTCTCATGGACACTTACGGTCGCCAGTCACAGCGAGACTAGCAGCCACTCCTGAACGGCGAAGTGGCTCAGATTGTTTCAGCGTTTTAGGCATTCCGTCCAGTGCTGGCGCTGATGACATCCGCAGAGCTTACAGGCAGCTCGCACGAACCTACCATCCAGATGCCAATCCCGTTGAAGATACTACTTCCAAGTTCCTTGAAGTCCACTCCGCATACGAGGTCAGTAGGTCATCTCTAGCATGAGACTTTCCTTATTAGCCTCGAGGTTGATTCTAACGTGTGAAACCGTGCTCCTTCCTTTGCCTTTTACAGCTGGCTCTAAAGCGTTGTGAGAGGCGGAGAGCGTCTGTCTCTATGGTCTCGAAATCTCCCGCCGAGCCTTCTCGCAATACACCCACACGGAGAAAAACTCAGCGCAAGGACGATTGGGACGACATTTGGAACGACCTCATGCCATCCAGCCCTCGTCGCCGGCCGTCCCGCCGGAAGTCCACCATGAACTCGCCAAGCTTCATCTGATGCTTCAATTTCAAGCAGCCCAACGATGGCTATCGTCACATGACGCTCTGTGACGGCGTGGCCTCTGGAGCTTGTACAGATACTACACGGTCTCTGGAGCTTGGCTTCAGACCACACCATAAAAGCGTGTCGGATATGACCGTCTCAGATAGTTAGTGCAGAAGGTGCAGTATGTGTAGTACAAAAAGCCTATTTACTTGATTTAATTGACATGTATTGCACAAGATAGGAATTTCATTTGAATGGTACAAACTGTAAAGCAGCGAATATTTTCTGATATGACCACATTATACCCCACGCAAATTAGTCAGCAGCAGTTTTGCCTGGAAAACACACACCAAACAACTACTGAGTGGAAATGACAAAGAAGCAAAAATTGCAACAACACACAGATGAAAGAATACATCACACGCTCACCTTCTCTTTAGCTCTGGGAGTGCCAGTCTGTAGTAGACCATTTACTGAAGGCAACAACGCCTCCCCAAGAATCAACCTCCTGTGCTCCTCATTGTTGCTTGCGATCTGCCATAAAGCAGCAACTGCAAACTCCCTCCCCCTTGGTGTACCTGTCTCCAAAACCTCCACCAAAGCCCCAAGGCCATCATCTTCATCCTCCATAATAGCAGCCCTGCCATCGGCTTCGGATGAGAGGTTTGAAATAGCGGCCATAGCTTTCTCTGCAAGGGCCGATGCAGGTTCAGATAGCAGCCCCAGAAGGGTAGGCACAGCACCGGCTTCTATCAACTGCTGCCGCTTCGAGTTCAGCATGGAAAGGTTGAACAGCGCTTTGCAGGCATCCCGTCTTCCCTGCTCACTACAAGCTGACTTGTTTAAAAGCTCCAGCAGCGGCGGAACAGCACCCTCGTCAATCATCATCACCTTATTCTCGTCTTCAGCAGATAAGCTAAACAGTGTAGCAGCAGCAGTTTCCCGTGCACTCATGCTCTCCGCACTCCCAGCCACACGGATTAGATGCGGAATAACCCCCAAGAAGGGCATGAGTGCGCGAGATTTTGGATGGATGGACAGATTCAGTAAGGCGGTTATTGCTTCCTCCATCACTGCTGCTCTAGAAACTTCTCCCGAACCTACGCCTGCTGCTGCTGCTGCTCCTGCCGATCCATCTTCCTGGGTATTCCTTCCTGAACTCCCCCCACCACCACATTCAACCTCTCGTTGCTGACATTGCGAGGTTTCACTGGGTCCCAGAAGCGGAAGCAACGCGGAAACAGCCCCCGCTTCCACCATGGCCGGGCGGCTTCCCTCGAAGTCGCGTGCAATTTCGCGAAGAGCACGCGCTGCAGCTAGCTGACGTGGAGGGTCCGACATTGCACCCAAGTCTCGTAGGGCTTTGTGGAAAATGGCCGGGGGAGGGGGAGCGGGACCGGAGGCTTTACCCCCCGATCGACTGACAGGAGAGGGCATTGAAGATGAGTGCATTGACGGACGTGATTTTGACCCAGAGCCGCCAAACGGCAACGACGGCGGCGCAACGGCTAATTGACCCGAATCCGTCCGATTGTGCATGATCTGACCGGACAGCTCGGTCCCTGCGGTCTCAATTGTCATGCCGGAAACTCCCCCGGGAACCACCTTGAGCTCACGACTGTAGACGGACACTCCTGACGCGGTTCCCGCTGATCCGGAATGAGGAGAAACGCTTGGCTGAAAAGTTTGTCGTGCGGTTGATGTTCTGTTGGCCGGCGAGGGGACACCATACGAGCCGGCGTCGTTGCCGTCGCCGTTAGTTGTGCCGTCGGGTGTTGACACTTGTTTGGTGCTGACGAATCGCTCCTGCTCCTGCTGCTGTTGCGGGCGCTCGTGCTCCCGTCGGTGATGAGCAGCGATCAGCGCCGGCGGTAAGGTAAGGTCACTCATTATCAAACAGATGTCAGCTCGGCGTTAGCACGTGAATGTGAACAGAAACGGATCAAAGGACCTTGGACTAGCGCGGGAGTCGGTTAAGGTTTGTACCCATTCGGAACGTAACAGGGAAGACACACACTGTGTTATGGCGGATTTGAACTCCTTCAGATCGCAGGACTACCCAATGCTCGTAGGTTGATATAAATACGGTGACGGAAATTAACCTAGATACTCTTGAAGAGCATGGAGGCTACTAGACTATGTCGATGCATACTGATGCTGGAACCTTCGCTGACTTTTGTGCTTCTTCACATCGCTTCTGCACCTACACATGGGACCACTACCAAACAATCCTGTCGATGTTACAGTATCGAATGTTGTCCTTGCTCCCATGCTCACACTACATCCCAAAAATCACAACGCAAAATTCGCTCCGAAGTCGAGGGATACCCCAAGGTCACTGTTATGAGATTTACTAAGAGTGCGCGGAAGACTTTACAAAAAGGATGTCTAATCCAGAATGTCAAGAATGATAAAGAGGCATGCATTTATAGGGTCGAAACCGTGGTAGGCGAGGACCTCAGGACGTGGATGGGTTTGGAAGTGTCGCGATTGGTGCGGGGCGACTCGGGGGTGGTTCGGGCCGAAGTGTAGGCCGAACCTCTAAACAGACGCGAAGTGCTCGGGGTCGTCCTGTCAGAATGTTATCTTATGTTCTAGCCGGTAGCGGGGTGCTCTATAGCGAGTACAACCCTTCTAGGGTTTGCTATTTGTATCCCCATTTCTGCTAGTTCAACCTTCTCTTTCTTTCTTCTAATTTTGTCATGGTATCAGAGCAGGTCGATCCCCTTGGATCGATCCTGTGGGTGGGTTACCACCTCCACGCTTCCGCTACCATTTTTTCTTCCCGCCGTGCGCCCCGAGGCGCGCGGCGGTTTTCTGCCCGCCGTGCGCCCCGAGGCGCGCGGCGGTTCTCTGCCCGCTGTGCGCCCCGAGGCGCGCGGCGGGCTTCTGCCCCGTCGTTCGCCGCGTCGCCCTCTGGAGGCGCCGCGACGGGCGACGGGGACCCGTCGCGGCCCCGCCGCCCCACCATCGCGGCCCCGCCACCGACCTGTCGCGGCCCCGCCGCCCCACCATCGCGGCCCCGCCACCGACCTGTCGCGGCCCCGCCGCCCCACCATCGCGGCCCCGCCACCGACCTGTCGCGGCCCCGCCGCTTTCCTTCGCGGCCCGTCGCCCTACTCGTCGCGGCCCCGCCCCCCCCCCCCCCCCCCCCCTCCCCCCCTTTTCCCGTCGTCTGTCGAGGCGACCTGAGGGGGCCGCTGTGGGGTGGCGGGTATGGGGGTGGCCGGTGTGCATTCCTCCCTTTGCTCCTCCTCCTCCTTCGTCTCCCACTGCTGCAGCTGTCGCTGAGGGGGGTGGATGTGTGGGAGACTGGGTTTAGGGTTTAAGGGGGGTGCATGGGAGTGGAGCTAGCGGTGTAGCAGTGGGTGTGTATCAGGGGGGTGGGACTGTCTGCGGGAGGTTGAGTGGAGGCTGCCAGCTTGTTGTCCGCAGCACCTGTAGTCCGGGGCGTTGTCCCGGTAGCCCAGTGAGCTTGTCGCTGCGCCAGTCGCCTGTGGGTCCGTTGCCCGCCTGCCGCTGCTTAAGCCGCGGGGCCTGTTGCTCTTGTAGTCCGGGCGCTTAGTCCGGTAGCCACTGTGCTCGCCACTCTTGTTGCCCGTGTGTCTGCAGCTTCAGCCGCCGCCTTCTATCTCCTCTCCTCTCACTCTCTCTCCTCCTCACTTGCCCGTTGTGACTACCACTAGCTTTGCTCATAATTGTGCACTCTAAACTATTTCTTCTTGAACTTGTGCTCAGAATGTGTGGTGACATTGTGATCCACCCTGAGCTTGTACTGCTTTGCCTGCACTGCTGATTACACCCCACTTTGGCTATGGGGGTGTGTCAGAATGTTATCTTATGTTCTAGCCTGTAGTGGGGTGCTCTATAGCGAGTACAACCCTTCTAGGGTTTGCTATTTGTATTTCCATTTCTGCTAGTTCAACCTTCTCTTTCTTTCTTCTAATTTTGTCACGTCCTCGCTAGGAGCAGCCTCTACAGTAATGAATTCGTATTCATTACAGTCACCCTCGTGAGGTAACCCTCATGTTTCCTCCAAGTGCCCCCGAGGTTAACTTCGAGTGCTGGCGAGTTCATTACCACTCGCAGAAATGTTCGCGCACCTTCGTAATGAAACCATAGACCAATCAGGGGGGCATATCAGTTTGTTGTTACCCCGAGGATACCCCCTAGCTTCGGCTGGAGGCTCGGCGTCAATCAAAAGTTCGCTTCACTTTGGCTGCCGAGGCAGCCACGTACGGTAAGCCTTGACTGTGCATTTCGTCTTTCCGTATTCGAATTGAAAAGTAAACGGTTGTGAGCCAGAAAGATTCCATTATCTTATCACATCACTCAATATGTTGTAATTACAGTGATGGGTTGGGTTACGTGGCACAGTTTAGATCACGAACCAATCGTAGCTCTTTGGCAACCACCTTCTACTGCCTCTCCTCACCCATCACTGCCTTCTAGCCTTGTCCATCCTGGTTCAAACACAACCCGTCATTCTCTACCGAAGTCGTTTTCAGCTCACGATAATCACGTGGAGCAGCTACTACGAGAGCTACACGCAGCTTACTTGAACAAGAAGCAGGTTGTCGCGATTAGCCCTGGTGATGTTCTGACCGTGGTCAGATTTCGCGTGCACGTTTTAGGAATTAAGTTCCTTCACTTTTCCACCAGCGAAGTCATAGTATTTTAGGGGTGCCTTTGTTTGAATGACATGCATCGTATATGTCTTATTTCGTTATCGTTTTTTCATGGCAGAATATCGAACACGGGGGCGATGCGTGATGCTCCATTCTCGACTCGTATCGACCTAAGAATTGTTGTTCAGTCAAGCTGTAAATAGTGCTCGTCGTGAGGTAAGCTGAAATGCTGTACGATGGGGTTGCAGGATGAGCGCCCTTTCATTCTGTTTGCTTCTTGGCGTCACTCTGATTATATTTTTTCATTGCCTCTGTTTATTTTTATTTGTCAGCAGCCTGGTTTCCACATGCCTTCTCTCCGTCACATGGTTTGTTTCATCGAATCTCGTTGCCTTTGCCGCGAATGTTTTGCAGATGCTGTATCACCAACTAGCTTCGTATCTGGCCAGATTTCTCTACTGGTGAGCATGCGGTGCATAATAGACAACTGTGGCGTGACAAAATCGTTTCCTCGTGTACCAATGTTTCTCTACTTGTTCTTACTACTTATTCCTCACTCTTACCCACCCTCCCCGTGTCTAAATGTCGCCACTCGGTGCAGGATACGGAAGGCGATCCTGTCACGTATTCGTTGTTGGAAACAATAGTTCATAAGCGCCTCTGTCATGTTGAAACACTAAGGCACAAGCGAGGCGAAGCATATCGAGGCACCAGCGAGTCAACCCTCGGAGGTTGAAGTAACCGCTGGAGGTTACGCGAAAGTCAAAGGTCAGCGACCTTTGACCTGACAAATGCAACGCGACAGCAAGGACACACAGCTGACTTGTTACAGAGCAGTTGCCCGAGTCGTCACTGTATCAAACCGCAACAGCAACAGTTAAGTAGTTATAACTGTGTCTCTTCATATTCTCTGTATTCATCTTGTATCTCTTTCCTTTAATCAATTCACTTTGCCCTCACATACTAGCGCAAGGTGGTTCACAAACTCTTTATTAAGACGCTTCCGCTACTCATCAACTCTACCCAGAATTCACCTCTGCAAAGATCCTAAGGGCTTTTTCAGCCCAACATGGTATGAGACCTATCAGGGGGAATTTGACTTATATACCAACAGTGTCAATCAGCATGGCTACACAAAAGGGAAGGAGCAACTCCAGCGGATCCCAGGGCACTACTCCTACTCCACCTCCTGCCTCTGGCCTACAGACAGAGGAGGGCACGGCAACAAGACCCAGAGCAACATCTACAGAGACTCCCGCAAATCATCCTGCGGACTTCGACCAGAGCATGATGGAGAAGTTCTTCTCCTTCATGTCCTTCTACGAGAAACATCAGCAATCGGCACCTGCGCAATCACACAACAGCAACAACAACGGAGCAACACCCATGAGTCTCGACGACTCATCGTATGCACGAGGAAATAGCAACAACAACCTACCTTTGCTCCGTACGAGCGCGGATCCATCAGCTTCATGCCACACCCACAGCCCTCACCTGGACAAGAAAAACAACTGGACGCACTACAAGTTCAGTCGCAGTTCGCACATGTTCTGAAGATGCAGACGTCAAGACCTTTCGATGGAAAGGATTTCTTCACCTGGTCGTTCGAGTTTAAGCTGATGATGGAAGGCGCGCAGATACTCGGGTTCTTCGACGGGTCCCTACCATACCCAACAAACGGCACACAGTACGAGAAGCAGCAGTACATCTATC